CCTCCTCCCTCCTCTCCTCCCTCCTCCTCCTCCCTCCTCTCCCTCCTCCTCCTCCTCCTCCCTCTCTCCTCCTCCTCCTTCTCCTCTCCCTCCTCCTCCTTCTCCTCTTCCTCCTTCCTCCTCCTTCCTCCTCCTCCTTCCTCATCCTCACGAGGGCGGAAGAGCGACGGGGATGCCTCCGCACGTGCAGAGATCAGGCCCCCCCCATCGCTCCCCCCACCTCTCCTGGTCCCGCCGAAGTTTCTCACTCCAGCTCTCTCCGATCGTGCCCCCCCTGTTCTTTTCCCATCTTCTCAGAGTGGAAATATGATCGATGTGCGCATACAACTCTTGAATGCGACCACCTTTGACAGACATCCACGAGGAACTGTCAAAAGCTGAGCATCTGAAATAGTACCAAACATGTCATTGGCACCCTATCCTGTTCAAATGCGGGCCCAGCACAACCCGACGTAGAGAAAGATTGTCCTTCAGAACAGCAGCACCAAGCAAGACATAATGCAACGCTGGGGAAAGCAAAGCAACACTGTAGAGAGCAATGCATAACGAAGCGAGGATGCTAATGAAAAGATCATCGAAGCGTGCCGAGCAGTGCGAAGCAAAACCAGGCAACTCAACGCAAAGCGAGGTCTTTTCGGGATCTGCGTAGCCACGCACCTTGTCGCATCCCAGACACTCACGAACGCGAAGGAGATTGCGCAGTCTGCACCTCCCAGCTGGGCGAGATCTCGTTTGGGCATGACTGACCTTGCGCTCCGCTAGACCTCACAGGAGCTCACGCACGTGGCGACGGTCGCGCAGTTGGCAACGCCCCGGGAAGGCGATGCCTCCTTTGGGTCTGCGTAGCCCCGCACTCATCTGGACCTCTTTCTGGCTGGGTCTGCGTAGCCCCGCACTCCGCTGAACACCCCACATGCTCACGGAAGCGACAACGGTTGTTGTGCATTCGGCCGCACCCGAAGATGCGAGGTCTCGATTGGGTCTGCGCAGCCATGCACTGCTGGACCCCAGAGCAGATCACTGAATCAAAGACAGTTGTGCCGTTGGCAGCACCCGGGGAAGGCAAAGTCTTTTGGGGATCTGCGTAGCCCCGTAACCCGTCGCATCTCAGAAGCTCACCCACGCGAAGGAGATTGCGCAATCTGCTCCACCCAGCCAAGCGAGATCTCGGTAGGGCATGACTCACGACTACCCTCGCATTCAGATGGACCTCTTCCCAAGAGCTCACGACCGTGGCGATAGCTGCGAAGCTGGCAGTGCCCAAGAAAGGAGGAGTCTCGTTTGGCTCGCGGCGACTCCCGCGCGGTTCGCACAACGCACAGAGGCGAGGCCTTGGTTGGGTCCGCATAGCCCCGCACTCCGCTGGACACCCCGTATAACCATAGAAGCGGCAACACCTGCGCAGATGACAGCACATCACATAGGGAAGTGGAGATCTCGTTTGGGTTTGCGTAGAGCCGCTGGACCCCGACAGAGCTCACGAAAGTGACGACAGTTACGCAGTTGGCAGCGCCCAAAAGATCGAGGGAGGGGAAACGAGGAACAAGCGAGGAGGAAACGACGAGGACGCGAAGAGGAAACGACGAGGACGCGAAGAGGAAGCGACGAGGAAACGACGAGGAAGCGACGAGGGAAGCGGACAGGACGCGAAGGGGAAGCAAAGAGTGAGCAACGAGAGGGGAAAGGGACGAGCGAGAGGGAGGAGAAGGAACAGTACAGGGCAGTTGTTCGTACATGGGATCTTTAAGAAATATGGGGTGCTTAATATTCATGCATGATTCCTTTATGAATGAATCTATGCATGAACTCACCGTTGCTTTTGATACTGAACCCCTGCATTTTTCATACATGATCCGCACGCGGAGCATGTATTAAAAAAACGGCACCGTAAGCGCTCCATCCGAACCGGGGAACCCCACGCAGGAGGGACGGACGCGTGCCGATGCCGCCGACTCCCCCGCTGGCGGAGAACCCCCGCCGCGCTCCGCTCCCCCGCCGCGCTCCTGCAGGCTCCGGCCGGAGACTCCCGGGAGACGCGGCCCCGCTGCCGGAGATTCCTGCGCGGGCCTGGCCTGCCCGACTCCAGGTTTCGTAAGAAAGGGAGGGGGGTCTCATTTCGGGGGGGTCTCTTCCAGGCTATCTTGGAGGGCATGGGGGGTCTGGGGACGATGTTTTGGAGGGTTCTCCCACGGGGGACGTCTGAAATGGCTTGTCTTGGAGGGTCCAGACCCCCTCCCTTTTATTACGAAATCTGGAGTACCCTCAGGTCGGGCCTGTCCCCCTAATGTCTAAAAACTGTTGCAGCGATTATTTTGGGGAGACAGTTTAAAAAAATGGTCTTCCCCAGCGCTGCAGTGCGCCTAGAGAAAACAAAAGGGGGGCGGGGCAAACTGGATCGCTGGAGACGTCCCCGTGACCGCCCTGGCGCCCTGCGTGCAGGGGCAGATTCCTGCGCACCCCCTCCTGGCGTCAGGCCACGCCTGCCACGCCTTGCGACCCCAGCGTGGATAGAGACTGCGCCCGGGGACGAAAAAATGTTCAAAAAATACTCAAAAGATGCCCAAAAATACCCAAACATTTCCCTGACTATGTGTTTGACTATCGTAGAAGGACAGGCCCGACTTAGCCCTACCCTGGACTTCCGATCCATCGACGCTGCACTTTCGAATCCGGCCCCGAAGGCCTCGGCCTCCTCCCAGCAGGCAAGTTTTTATCACAAGTCCATTCCCGATGGCTCCAGGGCACGAATCGGGGATGGGCAGAACACCATTTGGCAAAACGTGGTTTAGTAAAAACGACCTTGGGCCCAAACCTGGCGGGCGCAAGCCTGGAAAATGAAGACCGCGGCGCCCCCTCGAGAACCGAAAACGGACAATTCACTAATCGACGTGTCAGGGTGGGGGTTCTTGAAGGGGCTCCAGGACACACAAAAAATACACACAAATAAACATATTCCCCATATTTTCCATATGTTTCTGGTTTTTGTCTTCCCCCCCACTTCCCATATTTTCCTATATTTTCTGGAGAATCGACGATTAATTGTGTCTGTGTGGTGTTTTCCCTCCTGAGTTCTGTCCACCCCCGATCGAAAGCTGCCCACAGGGGCAGGAGGTCCGGAAGAGAGCGGGATTGAGAACGTCCATCCGCGCGCAGTCTGCGGAGAAGGACGAGCGCGCCCCTCGCTTTCGGCAGAGCGGCTTTCCGACGGCGCGGATCGTGCGACATCGGCAACTTCTGGGCCGCCGACGGCTTTCAACCTCGAATTGATAGGGGAAAAGGAACTATGCACATACACCGATTCTGGCCAGGCCCATCCTGAGCCCAGGATCGGTGCATACGCCCTCCTACCTTGGCCAGGAAGGCATATGCACCGATCCTGGGTCAAGGATGGGCCTTGCCAGGATCGGTGCATGTGCATAGTTCTCTTCGCCCGAATTGAGTAGGGCCGAGGGTCAGAGAGCGCCTTCCTCTGCAGGACTAACAGATAAAGGACGTCAAGGTAGTCAAACGCCTCGCCGGTTAAGCCGACGGAGATGCGCAACATCCAACCATTACGCTCATGCCCAGAGCTTTGGCTCGACGCCGGGCGTGGTGCATCAGCTGCAGCTTGACCGAACAGGTTGGTTTCACCCTTTGGCGTCCGTTTGGCGTGTTCTGCAGACCTGACCCCCCAGCCCTATTTACCAGCCTGGAACATATCCCTATCCCTATGCTGGGCATCGCCTCATCACGATGCCAATCTCAGGGATTCCCTTAGGTTTTGTGGGCGCAAGCCTAAGATTGTCATGGCCTTTTGGCGTGTCAATCTTAGGGATAGGGATAAGTTCGAGGCTGGTGACCTATACTCAAAACCTTGAACGCCCGCACCGGGGCCCGCCGTGCCGACGCGGCACTCGAATCTGTCGTGCAGCAAGCACGCACCATAGAGAGCGGAGGCGGTGCCGGCAGAGGCATGCTCGTGGAGCACCCGCCCGCAGGCCAGCTCTCTCCTCCCGTCCGGAGGCTAATTTTCTGTATTTAGTTCGAGTTGTAGGCAAGCTAGGGAGCTGGGAAGCACACCGTTCAACAGGAAATCATGAGATAACTCGAGCTGCTGGCGAGCTACGGAGCTGAGATATACACCCATCGACAGAAGATGCCGAGAAGCGCCCGTCGAAAGCACTCAGACGGCTGAGATCGCTCACCAGAGCTGCGCTGGCCGGAAGTGACCCTGGCCCAAGGCGTCCCCGGCCCTGCGCTCCCCTCGTGGGGCCCCCCCGGGGGCCGCCGGGCCGCGCGCGAGGGAGGCTCGGGAGGCCGCGGCTGCCTCCCTGGGCCAGGGGCCTCCCCTGGCAGCGCCCGGCCGCTGCTGCGCCCGCCGCGGGGCCGTGAGCAGCAGCGCGCGGGCAGCACGACGCAGCCTGCGGCCGCAGCCTGCCTCGCTCGGGGAGCTGCCGACCCGGGCCAAGCCAGACATGGGTCAGTTCGGCCTTGCAGGATCCTGCGGGGTCCTGCGGGATCCTGCACCCAAACCCGGGTCGATGCACCACTGGCTCTGCAGGATCCTGCTGGATCCTGCAACCAAGCCCGGGTCAGCGCGACCCTGGCCCTGCAGGATCCTGCAAGATCCGGCGCTCTGGCTGACCCCCGTCTGCGTTGACCCCCGTCTCTTGAGTTTCGACTCGAGCTCTCGACGAGCGGCCCGGTGCCGCGAAAGTCCGAGCGCAGCTTTCTTCCTGGCTCGTCCCACCCAAGGTGGGGGCGATGATTAAGGAATGCGCTCAGGAGGCTCGGTTCAGAGCATGCGGGACTCCTTGTATCTGATGAGGGCGGCGGTGATATCCATGGCCAGTCCACGATTGGAGTTCCAGCCGCTTCCAGACCCTGGATTCCTCACCCAACGACTCCTTGTCCAATGCCCTCGCCGTCCGTAGCCATTTTGGCTCGAGCCAGGTTCTGGTGTCAATGGCTTCGGGGGGCCGCGCGGCGCGCCCCCTGCAGGAGGCGGAGGCCGAGTCGCGATGGGGCGTCCGCTGCTCGGCGCGCCGCTCGGCGTCGCGGGCAGATCGCCCGCGAGCGTGGCCTCCAGAGAGCTCTCCACGGCAAGCCCTGCGGCCCGCTGCGGGCAGGCGCCCTGGCCGACCCCGAGGCGGAGGTGGCCAGGCGCGAGCGCCTCTCCCGCCCGGCGCTGGTGGCTGGCATCTTGGGCGAGGAGACCGCCGACGGGGCACGCCTCGTGCGGAATTGCGCCCGGCGCTGCGCGGGCGCTGCCAGGAGCTGGAGCGGGCTGGGCGGAGTGGCGAGCCGCGCAGCATGGCCCGCGGCTCGGGCCAGGGGGGCCAGCGCCCGCGCGGCGTGCGCCTCGCGCGCCTTCTGGAGAGCGAGCGCCGACCCCCGCAGCCCTGGTCCTCGAGCAGGTGCAGCCCCACGCCCCTGGGACCTGGCTCGAGCGCGACCAGGTGTCGGAGGGCCGCGCCCTTGCGTTCGGGCAGGGCCTGGAGGCTGGCTGGAGGCTGGCCGAGCTCCAGGCGCGCGTGCAGGGGTTGGCGGAGCAGCAGGACGGAGCCGAGGTAAAGACCGCCGCGGGGTCGGAGCTCGAGGAGTCGTTTGCGGAGTCTGAGGGCGTGACAGCGGAGCTGCTGGCGCCCGCCGTCGAACCCTGCTTCCGCACGCGGCCCCATATCGCCGACGCCGATGACGCGGAGGAGCCGCTTGTCGGGCTCGGCGTGGCGACGAGCGACGACACGATGACCACGGCGTACTCGGACGAGTTCGCCTACCCCTCGGAGTTCGGCGTGGAACCCAGGGTTTTGTCGTACCTCGACCGTTCCGACGGGGCACTCTTGAGCGGCCGAGCGCAGGAGCAGGAGGACGACGCCGACCGCTGCGGCGTCGAGCACTGGCCCTGCAGCGAAGGCCACGAGCACAGGGAGGCCGAGGTCGCCTGCGCATCGGGTGGGCTCAGGCGGTGCTCGCCGAGCAGGGGCCGCAGGAGGCCGAGCGGACTGCCCAGGCCGTCTTGAGGGGGCAGCCGGGGTTCACTCGGAAGCCTGCGGCCGACTACCACGCGGAGCTCGTGCGCGGGGCCTCAGCGCTTCGCCTCAGCTCGCAGGACCTCGAGGCGATCGAGGCGCTCTCGCTGGAAGGTGAGGCGGAGATCATTGCGCAGATGGAGCAGGCGGGTGAAGTGGAAGACTCGCTCTTGGACCTTATGAGTCCCGACGAGGGCGAGGCAGTCGTGCTCCTCGACGCGCTGGGCGTGCCCGACGGCGCTGGCCGAGGCGCGCAGGAGTGCGACGAGGAGCTTGATTCAGCGAAGCAGGAGCTGGTGCGCGCCATGGAGCCTCGGCGCCTGAGGTGGATCCGCCGACGGGTGGCAGAGATGTGGCTGGCTCGCCTGGCTGGGTGGTTCCACCACCCCGAGGCCTGGTGCGCCCGAGACCAGCTCACCAGCTCCGATGCCGAGTCCACCGTGCGCGGCGAGCACGAGGACGAGGCCACGTCGGAGCCGTTGAACGTCGCGCGGTCGGCTGACGCGCGCGGCGACTGTGAGAACGCAGGCGGTGGACCCCAGGCCGAAGGCCAACGGTGGGCGCGGAGGTAA